AATTCATTAATATCTTAAAAAGCCAAAGAAAACAAACATAACAGAATACTAACAGCATTAATTCTACATCAACAAAGAAAAAAACTGTTTCAAGCGATAAAGATTTTTCTTTATTTCTCAAAAAAAGAAAAAAAAAAGAAAAACTACGGAATAAAAACATTAACCTCTCTAGTCTCTCTCTCTAGTCATATGACAATTTATAATTTACAGTAGTACAATTTTTACATTTAATGAAAATTATTCGATATCTTATTTGAAAAAGAAGTGATGCACGATTTTTTTTTAAATATTAATTTTTTTCTTAAAAAAAAAATCCATGAAAAAAGCATTTAAAAGTTTAAACTTTAAACGTAAATGAATTCAATGACTAAAAAAAATAAAATGGAGCCTAATCGTTTTCTTTTTCATACACATTATTTATTATTATTATTATAATATTATATTTGATTTTTCACTTTACACACAGATACAGGAGTGCCGAATGGATACAAACATTAAACATGTAAAAACATAAATTAGGTATTCATAAATAAATACATTCATTACCATATAGTACAGTACACATAGACAAATCAAACACATTTTAACATTTCCCTACTTTTAAGAATATTTTTTGTGCTAAAGAAAGATAAAATAAAAAGGAGAAAGAAAAATATCGTGTTTTGAAGTTTCCGATTCAGTGATAATGTTATATTAAATAATAAATGACACATTTTTGTACTGTCGCTAAGAAGCTGCTTTATCGTCATACTTTTGTGATTGTGAATAAGAAAATTATTTAATATCTCGAAATGTACAATGGTTGGTGTAAAATTGTAAATTATCATCACTCCATGTGTAAGAAGGAACCTAAGTGTCTGATAGTAGTCGAAGGGAAAAACTATGCAAGTCCAGATGGGACACACTGAATTCTACGATATTTATTATTTACCTACTACTAATTTAATGCAAAAAAGAAAAAAAAAATGGAGGAGAGTAAACAAATTATTTAAAACTAAAAAAAAAGTGATGAGAATTATGAGATGATTGCATTCGTTTGTTCAATTAGAGAGCACAACAAAAACGTACAAACAATATCGTACAAAGACAGATTATCTATTATCATTACACAAAAATACGTATATACGACAGATATTCCTTTATGATGAAATGTACAACACACATCTGATTGTTACGCATAACACTGGTGTGTACCAACCACACAGCACTAAATAGCGTACACAACTGATCGACCAAGAACCTTATGCACACACACACAGAAATATATATATATATATATATATATATATATATATATATTTATATATATACATGCGAGAAGAAATATAGATGTACATTATTGGTATACACACACACACGTATGTACACACATGGTTAAGTCTAACTTATTTATCTGCTCTTGGTTAAGATGAGGTTTTCAACAGATCGAGATGAAAAATCTAACATCAATATTTCATAGATGTGAATTTTTTAAATGAAATTTGTTCATCTATTTTTTTTTAAATCGCAGTATAATACCAGTTCCAACAAAAGGAACACTGGAATCAGTATTTTTGCGTAAAAACAACTGAATGAACGAAGGGGGTTTGCACAAAAAAAGCATGATGCGACGACAGCATAATCATCACATCAAAGGATTTTTTGATCTAACCACACATGCTCTGCAATTTTTATTGTAAATTATTTTTATGAAGAGATATAAACATTAAAAGTATTTAATATTTGCACAATTTTCATCATTATGATTTACAAAAGGTTCACCTAACAAAAGCTGTTTACAACTTAACTTTCACTGTGATGCTAAAAGTAAAACTAAAACAGATTTTCGATCATTTATTGAATAAAAATCCAAATTGAGTGGTAGCTGGATTAGGTCTAATCAAACATAACTGAAAATTTCTATCTAGCTACATTATAATGATTCAATTTCAATACCTTCTTTTATATAATTTCATTGTACTTTAGTTTAAAATTTAAATATTTCAAATTGGTTACAGTACTGTTGAGTGTTGATGGTGGTCAGCAAAATGTTTAATTTTTTTTTAAGTCAAGTGCAGTATCTTTCTGTGTGTTCATTCCATAAAAGATAAAGAAACTGATGGGAATCTTAATTAAAATATATAATCACAGCACATTTCAAGAGAGACCTAAGTTGTTGGCATTTTGTTTTTTTATTCATGATAAACAAAAACGGGAAACCGAAAAAAAAAAGGAATTCGGTGAGAGAGGCCTACCTGTAACATCGGAAGATTCTCCGGAAGGTGGGCCGTTGTCTCTGTGTGCTCCAATACACCCTCCCATTTCATCTGGGGGAAAGGTGGAGAACAGTTGAGCCCCAGAAAAAAATCTTGCCGTAAACAAGGGAACCCCCTTTCGACAAAAGCCGTCCGAGAAAAGCCAACTCGAAAAGAGCCAAGATTTTGGAGTTTTTTTTTCCGCGAATGACGTCACAATGCCAACCGTCCGCAGTGAACGACAATACGAAGCAATGATTGGTCAAAAATCAAGTCTCCTCCCTTCCTTCCTTCGTCCGTCTCCTTTTTCTCCTCTCCTTCAATCTTCTTACATCCTTAAAAAAAAAAAAAAAAATAATAAAATAAAACTAAAAAAAAAAATAAATAAAATAAAATGATAGTCTGCCGAGTGCCATGTCGGTGAGGTTTGGTAATTTACACAACGTAAATGCTTTCAGAAAAGATAAATTTCTTTTATTAATCAGTGTACGAACGAAACTCCAAGTTATAAACAACAAACTTTGTCAGGTCTTACGTCCACGTCCAGAGTCCGCTGAGCGATAAAGCGTGCTTGTAAAATCAGGAAGTGTAACAATTATTTTATAAACGATTTTTATGAGTTGAGTTTTTTTTATTATTGATCAGTTTATCTTTTCATTCCAAGTCTTGTCTATTATTGTCTATGTAATGGACTTTATGTGTAGTTATTTTTAATATTTGATTGCTTTTTTCCATGATCAATGATAAAATAATTTTATCATTGATCATGGAAAAAGGCAGTCAGTAAATTAGAAAAACTAAAATAATTTCCTCGGCGTGGTGGTTATCAAGCTAATCATCTAATCTACTTGACCATTTTTGTATGAATTCGATCCTTACAAGGCGCGGTTCCAGTTTCACTGACTATGGGTTTTGTAACTTTGTTGTATGAAAATTTAGTGGTCAGCAAGCATTAATTCAAATTGGGAGTTCGATTCTCACTATTAAACTTTGTACTCAAATTATGCTTTATTTATTTATTTGTAATTCAATAAGAAATTCTGACAGAACAGAAAAATATTATATTTCAGTTGTTGTAAAATTAACAACTACTTGCCTAGTATTTTAAAAATTAATTAGTTTTCTTCTTATACAGACAGATTTTGCTGTCCGATCCTTAAAACCACCAGGAATTATACTAATTTTCATTTCATCTGAGTTCTCACTCTTCATATAAAATAGTGTCACTATCCGTTACTTTGCATTTCGATCATGAAACAATTTTGGAAAATAAGCATTTTGTATGAAAAATTATTTACTTCGGCATGAAGTTTAAATAATGTTAAAATAAATACACCGCAACAAACAATGAACATTTTTTATTCTTTCATAGATTTTTGGTGGAGCGGGGCGGGGTGGGGGGTAGGACTATAGTCCCAATTCGGAAATATATATGTTAAGTTCATTTTTAAATATTAAAATAAGAATGAGTTGTTGCTTTTTAGTTTTATTGAAAATAATAGTTATATATAGTTATGCCAATCGCAAGTAGTAAATGTCTCTAAATGTAGTGAGAATAATAGCCGGTAAGATAAGCTCTCACTACTAAGTGAATGAATACTGAACAACTGAATCCTGAATGTTTTTAATGATACAATGGTAAAGAAAATAAAACAGCTTATGACAGAAATAACTTTTTTTATGAAAACAGTAAGACCTTGAATCCACTACTGAACTTGTTTTGTCTTTCCAGATATTTTTCTTTTAAAAATAGACTTGCAGATGACAGTATTTGAATAGCCTTGTTGTTTAAAAATCATTGGTTTGTGAATTTGGCGACATAGTAATTGTGAGTTCAATCCCTTGCCTAGGTAACTCAGATACAGTGGAAATAGGACGAGTCCCTAGTAGACACATTTACAATGAATACATGAACTGCGGAATGAGAACAATAAAGCGATCAGTTCAAAATTCCGACAAGCAGATGGCCGGAGAGTACAGCGGCCGAAATTATGTGATGTGATTTATCGTAGCTTAGATGAGGTACAAGAAGTGGAAGACATAGTGAGGATCGAACTCAACTATATCACACCACATCGAAGTGCCCAAATGATGGGATAACAACAGCGATTAAAAGTCCTAATAACTTTTAAAAAATCTCTTCTTAACCACAAAAATCAACGAATGAATGTCCGCGTGTCAATTTTTTTCTGCTTGGGTATTTTTACATTCTATCTGGACCCGAGACCTATAGCGCGAAAAGTGTGATATATGTTTTTCTAAAAAAAAGAAACATTTTTTTTTTTTTTGATTTTGTCGGATGAACAAGGACATTCAGTCAAAGTGTCCTTCCTTGTCTGATGATGACGATTATTTTTAATGGCTCAATGTCTAAAAATAGAATAAGAAGCAAAAAATGAAACTTCAAGAGAATGATTAATAAAACTAAAGGGCAGGTAATTCGTTCATTAAACAAAACCTAAAGTGAATAGTGAATTTTTTTTAAATAAAAAAATATTTCAAAAGTGAAAACATTCTTTCAGGGAATTTTTACTTTTAAATTTAAAAAAAAAAAAAAAAATTATTTCTCTTCCTATTTTTCTCTTCCTGTCCTTCTTTTGAGATACAAATAAGAAAACGCATGTACAAAAATGGTAAAAATGAAAAAGATTTTTTTAAAAATTAAATACACTATTTTCATAGACAGCTAGAAAACATACAATTTTAATTTTTTTTTTTTTTTTTTTAATGTATTGACGTCGGAACTATCGCGGTTCACTTCGCAACATGGCGGCCTCCTGCACGTGGAGTAACCTTGTGGAAGAATATTTTTCTGGAGTTAACAATTCTGCAGCCTCTAAGATCGCCACAGGTTTGTTTCGTATATAAAATTAAACATTCTATCATTATTTTATGAACTTAATTAAGACGTAATTACCTGTGAATTTTACTGTTGGCCCTTCACGTTGTCTAATATCATTCTGGCGACACACAGTCGAATAGTCGCACTCAACAAATAAGTGATTTTAAAATTTAACAGCAACATCTTTGCTTTTAATTGTTGCATAGTAAGAATGCTATTCGGAATTATTTTGTCTTTTTTTCATAATACTAGGAAAGGCATTTAAAACTACTTTCCATTTTAAACAAAAATATCAGTTTTTCGCCTTAGGTTTTGTTGTCATGATAAATTGTAAAATGTTTTTTCTTGGTGCTCTATTATTATTATTTACTGTACTAGTGTTTCAGTGTGTTTTTATATCACGAAAAGCAGAGATTCTCTAACAGAACCTCTTCTAAAAACAGAATTCTTTGGTCATATAACAATTTATTTTGAAATATATTAAAAATATAACTTTGTTCAAATCTTAATTATAACTTTTTCTTGTTGATTCTTTCTTTTGTCGATGTGTTAGCCATGATAGATGAAATGAAATTGTCTTTTCTTTACCACTAAAACTCCAGACAATGTCCTAACTTAAAAAAAGTAAGAATTAAAATGTTCAAAATCTAATTTTAGGTGATTTTCTTTTATAAAAATATTGTTGCTTACTCTGTTTCCTTTTTGCTCGGATTACTTTTTTATTTAGAATGTTAGTTTATCAATTTAAAAAAAAGAAAAGAAAAAGCTATCTTTTTAAGTTGACAATTTTTTTCAAGTAATCTCTCTTCTTGTGAAATTAGGATTTTTAGAAGTTTACGAAAATGTCTCTAATCGACATTAATTTGGTAATTTTTACTTTCGTCAAATTGACAAATTGTTCCCTGATCAAATATCCTGTTTTAGTTTTGATTTCTTTTTTTTTTTTTTTTTTTATTAGATCCCCAAAAAGTTTATGGACTCCATTTTTATAGCAAGAAATTAAAAAACAAAAACTAACAAATATTTTTAATATTGCAAGTAGATGTAGAAATCTTAATGTTTGATGTTCGTATCACATATATTCATGCTTTTAGCATGGTAAAATGTGATTAGCTTTTTGGCTAAGAAATCCAAGCAACAATATTCGGATTTGACCTGATACGCCTCTTAAAAAAATATAGCAATGTCGCTGCCGTAGTTGAAAACAAGTCTTTTTATAAAGAAAAGAATGAATTAAATCGCCCTTTTCGGTAATATACGATCTTTATTTACATTTTTTTAAATGGAAGACTGTCTTGATGTACACTCTACAGTACAGTATAGTGGTTTGTCCAAAAGCTAACTTTTTCCTTGTTAATAAAAGTTGTTTTCTGGATGATTATATTTCGTAATCTATGAAACATCGTCACATCACATGAATTAACCCCTTTTGAAGATGATATAAAAAGTGAGCCATTACACAAATTAATGTCTGTCTTGTAACCTTGGACATAAATATCAGTATTGCTTTTGTTTTGTAATAATAATAAAAAATTCCCCCATCTGGGAAATGTTACAAGTAAAACATTTCTCTGGAACTGATATTAAGTAAAGCCTTACCAACAAGAGGGACAATTTTCTAGGTCACCGTTTGCCCGATTTAACTATCAATGTTTTTTTCTTTAAGTCTTTGTATCGAAGAAAGATATTTTAATTATTAAATAATTAAAATAAACTTCCTAGCTTACTCATTCCACAAAAGTGTATTCAGTTTTAGATTTATTAAATTATAAATTCTTTTTTGGGCTTATGGCTTTGTTGATATAATGTTTCCAAAGTTCTAAAGACAAAATAGTACGAGTGAATAAATAAAATTTAGGATTACAATATTTTCTTTTCAATAATTCTTTCGTCCACTCGAATTCTGTCGATCTTGAATCAATAAATTGTAAAATGTATTGACTTTAAGCTTTAACTTCTTTTTTTTTTTTTTTTTGTAAATTTAAAAAATAAAAATAGCGAAAACAAATTGTTAAAGTTGTTAACGATCATTCAAAAAGAGTTTTTGTTTTTTACCATTCATATTCTGAACTTTAAACGGGGAAAAGATTCATATATTTTTAAAAATCACTGTATCACTTTTAAAGCTTTTAACAATCTATTTTTTGTACTCTTAAAAAAGGATATTGAAATAGTGTTGATTAAAAAAAATTTAAATACAACAGTAGGAAACTTTAAAGCTGTCTCATTTGGCCCTTGGGACAAAAAAATTGATGTTGAATGAATGAATCTGAAAACATTAGTAATTTTCAATAAACCTACCAAAAGAGGATTTTTCTGTAAAATTAGTTTTTTGCAAGATAAAATCGTTTTTTCAAAGTCATTGTGGAATACCTTTAAAAAAAATTAGTTCGTATAAATGCATTTTAAATAGATACCACCACTGATTTTATAAAAAAAATGCAACTTAAAAACAAAGTTTTTTAGCGTTGTCATCACGCATGGCACATAACTGACTAACCACCATGGTAAAAAAATATATTAGAGTAGAAAATCATGATTAAAAGACTTAATGTTTATTGTTTGTTGTGGTTTTTCTTGTTAAGTAGTTTAAAAGATTAAATAATAATTATTCAATATCATCAAAATGAATATCAATTTTAGTGCCATTTTTAACCATCTGTCATAGTCATCACAATGTAATTTTCTTTATTAAAAAAAATCTTTCAAAAATATAATATTCTCTTCAGAAAACTGATCATCCTATTTTACAAAAAAAAAAAAAAATAATTTTAAATTCTCTAAGGAGTCCTGCTTTTAACTAATATAAAAAATTAAGTAGCACAAAATTTAATTTCTCGGTTTAATGAAATTAAATAAAAGAAAACAGATGGGAGTAAAAGAAAATATTTTTACCATGATTTTCTGATATGATTTTTTTCATTTGTGAATAAGTCCTGAAAGTTTCATTAAAATCTGACAATTATTTTATTTTTGCAAGAATTTCTAAATCAATGTGTTTTTAGCCACAAAGACACTAAAATTTCCTCTACTAATCTTTAGCCACTGGGCTGATGGAAAAAAAAAGCAAAAAAAAAAAACAATGTTTAACCAAAGTTTTGAACATTTTAAAAACGATAAAAAAAAATATAATTTAATAATCAAAATATCCTCTGGTATTTTCTCTATGATAATGAAGATTTTGATAAAATTTTGTTTTTATTATATTTGAGACATTTTTTTTTTTTTTATCATGTTATACTAATTTTTTTAGCAAATGAGTGGATGTAAAGTCATATAACTTTAAAGAATGAACACAGCAATTTTATTTTTTCTGAGTTGAATTTTATTTTATCAGTTTCTGTGTTTGCACCTCCTTGTATGCCATGTGTATGGTGTTGAAAAAATAAGTTTAAGTATTTGACAGTATGAAATAGTAATGGATTGTAACATGAACTAAAAATAACTGAACATTTCCTACTTGAAAGTAATGAGTTGTGTGTGTAATCATCTGCATATATTGTGGCATTTATCTGAAAGTTTTTTTTTTTATAATTGTAAAATACATTCCCAGTAAAACTAAGGCTTTTTGAGGTTTAATAAAATGTTACATTTTTGTTTAAATGAAAAAGAATTCTTGTTAGGAACATTTCTTTTGTGTAATTGTCATGTTTTGGAAACATTATTATCTATCCTTTTCATTTGATTAAAGATTTGAATAATTGAGGACATAGAAAATTACTAGCAGTGCTATCTGGTGTTGTCTGGGGAAAAATATGTTCTTTAACATTTCTTCTTATGCAAAAAAAGATTATTTACACTTATTTATGGAAAAGTAGCTGTTACTGACAAATATTCTGGTGCCCAAAACAAATGATGTAGTCCCTTAGATTGACAGTGTTTCTGAGTACACAACATTAATGCTTTGTCCATTTGATGCTAGTATAAAGAACTTGTTTGGATCCTTAAACATCAAGACCAATATAGATCTGGCCATGGAAAAATACATGGCAAATTCAGGGTGTGGTTGGTGATTTTGTCCTTGTGCTTTGATTAATTGACCCAAAAGGGGCTAATCTCATAGAATTATGGGGATTCTGGGAATTAGCACATCCTCCTTTTTGTCTATTCCATTTAATTGCCTTGGCGACATAGGATACACTACTTGACAGCAAGGTGAATTTAATGGCACAACTTTGGTCAGTTAGGATTTCTGAAAATCATGTTGAGTGTTCCAACTTTTAGTTAAAAACAGTGTAGAGGAGGATTCAATTGGGTTCTGAACATTTTCAGAAGTGTTTGGATCTGTCAATTGACTTGAACAGCTAAATCTCCCTATTTCTTTGATTGCACCATTATTTGAAACAAGAATGCATTGTTCACGGAACCATTGATAATTTCTGCAGTTTGGCATCAGTTTTTGCATCTAAAACAAATGAAAAATAAGGTTTAATCCTGAATATTTTCTTTGAGAATGTTTTCAGAATTGCACAAACAATGCTAAAAAAAAAAATTAGCCCTTTCTTTGGCTGAAAAAATATTTTAATTCCAAATTGACCTTTTGTGATTTTCAGTAAGCTTGAATGTAATTGTTTGGCTACAATAGAGATTATAAACGCCACAAACTAATTCTATTTTCAATGACCTCAGAATTTGAATGTGTCTGCTCTACCATTTTATAACATCAAAAAGCATTTTTGTACTTCTTGGTTCATTTTGTTAGAATTGGCTTTCAATTTGAATGTCATGTTCAAATACATACATTTATGAAACATAGAAAACAATAAGCAACATTTATATAAAAGCTTCACTTTAACACAGTTTTTAATCATGTCTCAAGAGTCAAAATGTATCTTTTATTACAATTTGTCAACTTTCAGCATCATAAAAAATATATAAAAAAGTAGATTAAAAAAACAATTTATTTTTTGTCTCATCTAAATTAGTACTGTTAACATAGGTACCTCCACGAGATCGCTAAAAAAAGAGCATAGCATGATGAAAAAAGACGTAAACTTGACAAAAACAAA